AAATTGCTATCTCAGTGATTTCAGTAGATAAAAGACTTTGTTTCAGAAAATCTTAACTCTATTAACCAAACCCTGAAGTTGGTAGCATGGTTCAGTTATGTATTTCAGAGAAAACATTTACAATTTTGAGATGTTATTAATAGGTTAAAATAAAATGAATTATAAATAAAAAAATTTTAATCGGGAAACTATAACACGCATCTCTCAGTCAAATAATTCCAAACTGAAACATCATTCCGGCCGTTCATTTTGTATTGTGCTTTATTGATCCGATCTGAGCAATTTCTTCGGCCTGTGAAAGAGTTTATGCCAGTTTCATGAAAATATCTCGTAAACAAAATTGATGGTTCAGTATGAATTTCAGCTACTCGTATTTGCTACAGTCGTTCGAAACCTTCATCGAAAGTATCGATATTCCGAATGGATAAATTGCCACATTTTACCACGTTGATCTTCAGCTAGTCTCATTCACTGTATCGTGCATCATTATATTAAAATTGAGTTTAGGGCAAAGTCGATACTTTTTTGTTTCTAATTAATTTTCGAAGCTGGTGAAAATCAAGGTGATGTCAATTGTTTGTCCCACCGGATCAAACGTTCCATAAAGAGTACAAAATATCCGTTCTAAGCCCTCTCTTATTGTAGATGACCAAATTCGTGCCGTCACATTGTAAATTGAGTTTCCCTTCTCAAAATCCTGCATTTCGCAATTCTATGTTTTAATGTTGACGTTTGCATTTCGCGTCTCACCTGTAAAATATAGAATAGTAGCGCTTTTTCGATGTCAAATCGAAGAAAGTATTTATTTTAGTAGAATAAAGTATATAAAAAAGTATTAAAGTATGGGATTTAAAAGTGGGCATGTAACCGGCATTGTTCACTATGTTGGTAGCTCCAAAATACGTCACTTTGAAGCATAAATTATAGTTTCGGATGTTTTGAAAAAATTGTTTTAAGTTGAAGTGCGCTTAGAAATATAACTAAGAAGTGGCTCAKGTGGCTTCATCARTGGTGACAAAACAACTTTACCGTTCGAACAGCACATTCCAGGGGATTCTTTAGCGAACTGCAAAGCACCGCGTWTTTGTAATTTCTGAAATCATCAGCCTTATTGTAGTTGAACGCCGCCATATTTAAATAAATTTTTTTCGTAATTGAACTATTCGGTTACGAATGGCATCAAGTCTTTGCGTACGTTTTTGGATTCCCTCGGTAACTTGCAAGGAAGATTTTTTTTCACTATCTTTTTGAAGCCAAGATTCATGCTCTCCTTTAGTTTCTATATTTCTTCTTGTATATATTCTGTTACGATTTTTCTCAAGGCGTAACTCACGTTCATCAGCTTTTTTATTTGCTCTTTTTTCCTTAACATTCTTTAATTTGGAGATCTTTTACCAATACTTACTTTTTTGGGTGCCATTTTTCAKTTATTACAATGATTCTGTGAAGAAACATGATTGGTGAAGAAAAATACAATTTYCCGTTGTAACCATCAATTGAAAACGCATGAGTAAACGGATACATTCRCAGCGCTACAACTTACCTGGAATTCCTAAAAATCCTTAATTATTTACTTTAATATATTTCATTATACTTCAATATACTTCATTGTACTTACATATTGGCATATATATGTACAACGCATGTGTCAACACAAATTTGGGTTATAAAGTAATAGAATATCATCAAAGTAAATAAAAACTGTATTTGACAGTTAAAAAAAAGGGCTACGATTGTCACCAAACTTTACAGGATTACTCGTTAGGTTAATCTAAAGATTTCCTATAAGTTTCATTGGAATTGGTTCAGCCGTTTCGG